AAATAAAATATTTTTTTAAAGGACTGGGGATGTGGCTCAGTGGTTAAGCACTCATGAATTTGATCTCTAGTTCCAAAACAACCCAATCACACAGAGAGAGAGAAAAAAATCCAGAAGCTTTAGGTTCTTTTCATAATCATGAGTTTCCACCACTACCTGTCTTACACAAAGGAACAAGGCTAGCCCCTCTGTCCATAATGATCCATCTGCTACTGAAACCTATCTGGACCAGAACTGAAACATCTGCAGATGTCACATGTAGAAAATCCAAACCAACTTCCCCAATAACTTCCATAGTTTTAACCTACTTCCCCACTCTGGTATGACACAGAATAAGTTCAAAGCTTATTTTTCACAGGAGCACCTCAAGTATTTAGAGGCAATCATCACTGTTTCCAGCTTCTCTCTTCCCAAGTTCTTTCAAAATGGCTTTTATTTCTTGTTTTTCCTTTGGCTATACTTTTCTTGAACATGTTTATGTCAATGATCTACATCTGATGTTTTATATATTTTATTGCTACATAATAATTATAAAGAGTAGCAGGATTCATTAGGCAATATTCATACATACATATAACAATTTGGTCAGTCTCATTCTCTAGCACCTTCCATTTTCCTTTCCTTGTCCCTCCCTCATCAGTTTGCTCCACTCTACTGATCTCCCGCCTATCATTATTTTAGTGTGTTATAATTATATTATTGTGTTATATGTATGTATATATGTGTGTATGTGTATATGGAACTCATTATAGTATGTTCATATGTGGGCATAACATAATTTGGTGGATTTCGTACTCCAATACTTCCCCATGTCCTTTTCTCCTCCCTCCCTCTTGATTCCCCTTCCACTACTCTATTGGTCTTCCTTCTATTTTTCTGAGATCCTTTGTTTTAGCTATTTATTTTTTTATGTGGTGCTGAGGATTGAACTCAGTGCCTCAAGCATTCGAGGCAAGTGCTCAACCACTGAGTTACAACCCCAACCCTATGAGATCCTTTTTTAGAAATTATTTTCCCTTCCCACCCTCCCCTCTTCCACATAAGAGAAAATATTTGACTCTTGAATTCCTGGGTCTGGCTTATCTCACTTATGATGTTCTCCAATTCCATCCATATACCATTAAATGACATTTCATTCTTCTTAATAGCTAAATAAAAGTCCAATGTATATATATATATGCCACATTTTCTTTATCCATTCATCTGCTGATGAGCACCAAAACTAATTCCATAATTTGTCTACTATGAACTGCACTGCTATAAATACTGTTATACAAGTATCACTACAATATGCTGATTTAGTGTTTTTGGATAAAACAAGGATAGCTAGGTCATATAATGGTTTCACACTTAGTCTTTTTAAAGGAATCTGCATACTGCTTTCCAAAGTGGTTGTAATAATTTGCAATCCCACCAAAAAAAAAAAAATGTGCCTTTCCCCCATATCCTTACCAGCAATTATTATTTGTATTCTTGATGACCACCATTCCAACTGACAAGAGATGAGTATTCCTTTGGGTGTAGTTTTGATTTGCATTTCCCTGATTGCTAAGGATGTTGAACATTTTTTTCATATATTTGTTAGCTATTTGTATTTCTTCTTTCAAAACATGGAACTTTATTTATTTTTATGCAATGCTGAGAATCAAACCCAGTGCTCACACATGCTAGGCAAGCACTCTACCACTAACCCATTAGCTTTTTAATTTTATGACATCCCATTTATTGATTCTTGGTTTTATTTCTTGAGCTTTAGGAATCTTATTAAGGAAGTCTGTACCTGTGCCATTATGTTGAAGTGTTGACCCTATGTTTTTTTCTAGCATTTGCACAGTTTCTGTTCTAAATCCTAGGTCTTTGATTCATCAAAGCTTGTCTCTGCACAGATCCTTCTGGCAGTTAAGAACACAAGTTTTATAATCACACTGATTTGAGTTTCCTTATCTCTTGTGTCTGCCAGGATTATCTCATAAAATTGTGAAGACAAAATAAGATCATGCAATTGATAGCAGTTTATTAACTACAGAATATCAATATTCTTGCTTACATTATCCTTCACACCTTACAAAGTACCTACTCCTACTAACTCTATCCTCTAAAATTCTGACAACAATTCTATGTGGTAGGTATCATTATCTATATGCAATTCATAGAAAACTGAAGCACAGAGAGGTTAGATAACCTGCCCAAGGTCATATACCTAGCAAAAGATAGAACCCAGGTCAGATGTGAATCTCATGAGATTTTTCCATAAATGTAAAGGATGAACTTATACTTTAAGATAGCCCAAAGTAAGGATGGTCACAATGTTAAGGGACAGTTAGATAAGAATGGCTGGAACATAAGGATAAGAGAATAATTCTATAAAATGGGCCCACTGAGTCAGTCACTGTGGCATATGCCTATAATCCCAGGGGCTCAGGAGGCTGAGACAGGAGGATCACAAGTTCAAAGGCAGCATCAGCAAAAGCAAGGCTCTAAGCAACTCAATGAGACCCTGTCTCTAAATAAAATACAAAATAGGGCTGGGGATGTGGCTCAGTGATTGAGTGCCCCTGAGTTCAATTCCTGGTACCACCAATAAATAAATAAATAGGCCCACTGTTCTGACCCCAAAAGTAATTTGCCTACAGCCCCACTTAGTCTAAGTGGACAGGATGTGTCACATTCCTCAGTAAACTGAGGCATGGACAAAGGTCAGAAAGTCAGCATAGGTGATAAAAGGATGGGGGTTGAAAGAAGATGACATCTTTTTTCAAAGAGAGAACAATGGGTTACTAACAGTTAACCTCAGTGCTCCAGCCTTTGGTCAAGGACATGGGGGAGAGAAAAAAAAGACAATAATTAAAGAGGGGGTTCTGTGATTTATTAGAAAGCAAGTCTCATCCTGTCCCATGGGCTTTTTGTTTTGAAGGCCCCATTTCTCTTCAGAGAAGTCTGTCTCTATCTCCCTTTCTCAAATAAAACTTGCTCTCTATGTTTGCCTTGGGTCTGGGGTGTTTATTCTTTAAAACTGGGGAACAAGAACCTGTACCCAAGATCAGTATCAATAACACCACACACAATCAGGTGTCAAAAGATAATACTAGCTAGGAGTTCAGGAAAAAATGGGCACTTGAGCCAGAATGGTCAGAAAAGTTTTATGGAAAAAAAGAAATGTGAGCTGGGTCTTGAAGAATGGAGGTTCCAATAGGTGGTGCCAAGGAGGAGGATATTCAAAGAAAGAAGGAATCACAAGATTAAAAATCAGGAATTCAGGGTTGGGTCTGTAGCTCAGTGGCTGAGTGCTTGCCTAGCATGTGTGAGGCACTGGGTTCCATTCTCAGAACTGCATAAAAATAAACAAATAAAGGCCTTATGTCCATTTACAACTACAAAAACAATTTTTTTAAATCAGGAATTCAGCATTTGAAAAATAATGAAAACCAGGCAAAATTGGTCCTCTCCTATTGTCCCAGATACTTGAAAGACTAAGGCATGAGGCTCACTTGCAGCTGGGGACAAACCTTAGCAACACAGTGAAAATCCTTCTCAAGAAAGAAAAATAATGCGAAGAATAGCTGGTCAAGCAGAATGAAAGAGTAAAGTAAGTAACAAAGGAGTCTGGAAGGGATCAATTAGACTTGGAGGAGTCCTTGTATTTGTTAGATTGTGGCCTTAGAAGATTTCCTTAGGCTCTTTTGGAGGAAAGAATGGAAGGAAATTGTATTCCTTGAAAAATGATCAGGCAGGCATTCCACAGAATCAAGGCAAACACAGCAGAAGAGTAGTCACCAATGTGACCATCTGTAACAATGGAATTTTCAAACTTTCTGATTATCTTACATTAAATTTACATCAGATCTGGCCAAATTTTCACAAATCGGCTGAGGTGAACAAGTGAGTCAGTTCATAAAGAATTGAGTAAGGGAGGGCCTCCAGAGAAACTCAAACCTAGAGACATTCAGGGGCAGCCCCTAGATAACTACACACAAATCATGAACAGCAATGAGTATGCTGACTTGTGTATTATGGAGTTACAGTCTCTACAACTTAATGCCTAAATTTTTAATGCAAATTTCAAAACAAACACATTAATTTAAGCAGCATGATACAACTGAAAGAGCCCACCCAATTGAAACCTTAAATCTGTTAAAAGAATGGGCAAAGCCAAGCCAGTGGTGAATGTGTTATTCCAGTTACTCTACAGCTACTCAGGTGGCTGAGATAGGACTGCAAATTCGAAGACAGGCTCAGCTACTTAGTGAAACCCTTTCTCAAAAACAAAGCAAAACAGGGCTGGGGATGTGGCTCAAGCAGTAGCGGGCTCCCCTGGCATGCGTGCGGCCTGGGTTGATCCTCAGCACCACATACAAACAAAGATCTTGTGTCTGCCGAAAACTGAAAAATAAATATTGAAATTCTCTCTCTAAAAAAAAAAGCAAAACAGGGCTAGGGATGTAGCTCTGTGTTAAGAGTACCCTAGGTGGAATCCTCAACATGGAGGAAGGGGGAATGGAATGCAATTTTAAGAATGGAGTTTCAAACGATTCTGCAATAGCCACTTAAAGTTTTGAAACAAAAAGTGCAGTTTATCATTACTCTTCCCTTAATCACCAGGTAGCTTCACATCCCAACCAATTCAGCAAGACCAAAAAAAAAAAAAATCAGCATAAGAATTCTGTAAATTGATTAAACGCAAAATAAAATAAAATGGCCTGCCCAAGGTCAGAATATTTTTGGTAACCATATATCGGTGTCGGCTTTCTCTTTGTGGGCTCTCCCCTTCCCAGGCCCGGAGTGACAAGTGTGGCAAGTGGAAGGGGCGTGGCGTAGGTCTGTGCGGCCCAGGGAGCCCAAGGCCGAGGAAGCAGAACATCCCCTTTGACTGCGAGCCCGCACAGACTGCTGGGAAGGGCCTATTTCTCCTCAGGTCTCATACCCGGATGTCTGCAAGCCTCCATCCCCAGCTCTGCTCTCTCTACTCCTTTCCCCAGCGCCCTGCCTGGAATCTGTGTTACCTTCCACACGGTTCCGTTCATCTTTTGCTGCTGTGACCTCTAAAAGTGTAGACCGAAGATCCGCACCAGCAGCCGCGACCCCTTTGCGTCTGAAAACGCTGACGGAACGGCCTTGAACAGGTCCGGTAACAATATCCCACCGAGAATCACTCCACTACCGCAGCACCTTGGTTCCGGCAGCTTCCGAGACTCAACGTCGGGAAATGCCCCCAGACTCCACTTCTCGCTACAGCTTGTGTCACCTCCACTGCTGTTTTTCCAGGCAGAATCAGTTGTCATCTCTGTGTTAGACAGGTGTTTTGCACACAGTTCTGGCATCTCCTCTGCTGAACTATATTACTTGTTTTACCATCTCTGCCCCATATTTGATCGAGTTCCTTAAGGACTCAGACCCCGTCTGATTCATTCATTCCAGCGTCTAGCACGGGACGGGGAAATCTTGACTTCTGACCTCTATTTCAGAGCTGACTGACCCAATGTGAACCTGACATTCAATTGCCTTATAATTGGCAACTTTTATCGAGTGGCCACCATGTGCAATAGTTTATACTCAGTATATCACTTTATTCCTCACAACAATCCTATTAGGGAAATATCACTCCATCTTATAAAGATATCGATGCATCAGGAAGTTAAGGGAGCTGGGGCTGGGGTTGTGGCTCAGCGGTAGAGCGCTTGTCAAGCACGTGCGAGGCCCTGGATTTGATCCTCAGCACCACATTACAAAATAAATAAATAGATAAATAAATAAATAAATAAAAATAAATAAAGGGAGAGAGAGAGAAAGCGAGAGGTGTGGTGTTAAGGGACTTGTCTTGGGACAGTTGAGACAGAGCTGAGTTTCAAAATCGGTGTGGTTTTGTAAAGTGTTTTATCTCTGACACACCCCTTCTTACATGAGATAAAATCACTTCACACGTTTACTTACTTAACTCTCAGTAAATCAACCATTTGCATAACACACTTTATGCCAGCACTTCGGTAGATTCCTGGGAACACAAAAATAAGTATTAAATGGCCCCTGACCTTTAGTAGCATATAGAAATTAGTGGGGAAGCCAAGTCATAAACAAGCAAATTAATGAGCAATTATGAATTCAAGTTACAGCAATATACATTAATAAACTGTGTACAAAGGGAGTGCGTGACAGGTAAAGTCAGCATTATGTGAAATAATAAATATGCAAATTTGAAATACATTGTTTTGTTCAAAAACAATGAACCATTGTTGCTTTTGCTTAGCTTTTATTATTGTTATTGTCGAGGAAATGTGTAAAATCAGAAGAATATGAATGAGGTTTCAATGATAGGTTAATTTGGTTTATTGCCAAAATCCCTATCCTAATATTTTATCAATGCTTCCTATGATGAAATTCTAAGGAGCCACTGAGAGAAATTTATATAAATCTACTTCTCCCCAAAGGTAGCTCTTCTCCCCTCTGTGGCAGATCTGCTAGGAGACTATGATTGTTAATTGTATGTGTCAACCTGACTAATGGGGTGTGCCCAGGTAGTTGGTGAAACATCATTCTGGGTGTTACTGTGATGTTATTTTGAGGTGAGACTAATTTTGGAGGGGTACCAGTGATTGAACCTAGGGGTGCTTAATCATTGAGCCACGTCCCCAGACTTTTTTTATGTTTTATTTAGAGACAGGTTATCGCTAAGGGCCTTGCTAAATTGCTGAGGCTGGCTTTGAACTTGAAGTCCTCCTGCCTCCGCCTCTCCATCTGCTGGAATTTCATGCTTGTGCCACTGCACCCAACTGAAGTCAACATTTATATCAGTGGATTTAATAAAGCAGAATGCCCTTGGGGCTGGGATTGTGGCTCAGCAGTAGATCGATCCCTAGCAGGGCGAGACCTGGGTTCTATCCTCAGCACCACATAAAAAAATAAAGGCATTGTGTTGTGTCCATCTACACCTAAAAAATAAATTAAAAAAAAAAAAACAGACTGCCCTACCTAATGTGAGTGGGCCTTATCCACTCAGAGATCTGAACATAACCTCAGCAACTTAGTAAGGTCCTCTGCAACTTAGAGAGACCCTGTCTCAAAATAAAAAATAACTTTTTAAAGGTCCTCTGTTCCCCTCTATGATGGGCAGTTTCACATCCTCTGTGTTTTTGTTTTGCTAGCAAAAAAATAAAACTTCTTTTTCCTTTTTCTCAAAAAATAAAATACAAAGGACTGGGGATGTGATTCAGTGGTAAAGCATCCTTGGGTCCAATCCCCAGTACCAATAAAATTTAATTTAATTTAATTTTTTTAAAAACCTATCAAATGCTGTGTGTGTTGGGGGGGTCAGATGAGATCTTTCCAGGTGTGTGGTTTCATTTAATCCCCTCATTACCTCTGTGGGGCTAAGGATCCTTAAACCAATTGCATAGATAAGAAACAGAGACAGGAAGAAGGTACCTAGTTAACAAAAGGTCATAATATGGAACTGGAGATGTAGTTCAGTTGGTAGAGTCCTTGCCTCTAATGCATAAGACCCTGGGTTCAAATCCCCAGTACCGGGCTGGGGATGTGGCTCAAGCAGTAGCGCGCTCGCCTGGCATGCATGCGGCCCAGGTTCGATCCTCAGCACCACATACCAACAAAGATGTGTCTGCCAAAAACTAAAAAATAAATATCAAAATTCTCTCTCCTCTCTCTCTCTCTCTTAAAAAAAAAAAATCCCCAGTACCATTTAAAAAAAAAAAGGTCATGATCAACTCCTGTGTTCCCCCTGCTCCATAGGATTGTGACTGTAGGCTTGCAAAAGGGACAAATGGACTAAGACAAAGAGTTGTTGTCCTTGTCCAGTTCAGATAAATACAAATCTATCTTCATGTTGTTCATATACTCTGAAGAGTAGGGAAAGTGAAGGGAAAAAGAAGGAATAAAGGAAAGGTTCTTTGTATATATGTAAAAGGATTCCCAAGGCAACTAGAATATTTCAAAAGGTCAGAAAATCTAGAACCCTAAATGGAGGTAAAATCAGAATCTATGGATAAAAAGATATCTTATCAGTATCCATGAATCCATTGGAATGAACATTATTGTTGCCAAATTCTACTGCTGATGTCATGTGTTATGAAGGTATATGAACTTACTCAACTTCTCACATTTTTCCATATTAAATGTGACCAGAAATCCTTATATATCCTTCATTCTTTAGCTACTGACTAATTTTGTGTCTAGCCTCTAAAAACTAAGAATTTATTTTATTTATTTATTTATTTATTTATTTATTTTAGTTTTCAGCAGACACAACATCTTTGTTTGTATGTGGAGCTGAGGATTAAACCTGGGCCACACACATGCCAGGCGAGCTCACTACTGCTTGAGCCACATCCCCAGCCCCCTTTTTTTTAATTTTTTTTTTTTTTTTAGATAAAAGCTAAGAATTTCTTGGGGAAAATAAAGACAGCTTGACATAGGCCACTTTCCAGGTACAAGACTTCTGCTTTTTTACTTCATCCTTGAGCTATCAAGGACAAGTGTGAAGTGTGTGTGTGTGTGTGTATGTGTGTGTGTGTGTGTGTGTGTGATGCTGGGGATTGAACCCAGGGCCTTATGCATTCAAGGCAAGCAGTCTACCAACTGAGTTATATCCCCAGCCCAAGTGTGAACTTTTTAAAAATATATATAGTTGTAAATGGACAGAATGCCTTTATTTTATTTATTTTTATGAAATGTTAAGGATCAAACCCAGTGCCTTACACATGCTAGGCAAACGTTCTACCACGGAGCTATAGCCCCAGCCCCAGCCGAAGTATGAACTTTTTATGTGCTTTATTCATCTTTGCATCCTAGCATTTAGTCCAGAGCCTGGCCCATGGTATTATGCATCTGGCAAACTGACTTAATGTTTCTTCTTCTTCTTTCTCCTTTCTCCTACCTGTAACTCATCTCTACTATGACATTTCCTGTTTGTATCTTCACAGGTGGCATAGTAGAGACAAAAAAGGGAGAATGAACATAGAATATGAATTCAGATTCAATCCTACTTCTGTCATTTATCCACTATGGTTTTGAAAAAGAGAGTGGTAAATGCTTTGGGGATTTCAAGTTTGGCTAAAATATAGATATATAGAGAAAACTGGTGAGAAAAGACATTAGAGAGGCAAGATAGTGTCACATTGTTAAAAGCCAAGGGGAAGCTTTGATCAGTCAAGACCAGTGAAGAATGGAATAATGGAGGAAAGAGTGGAGTCAGGGAGTCCAGCTGGAAGACTAAGATGGTAATTTAAGTAAGAAGGAAGAATTTAAGTTAATTTAAGTTAAGGAGGAATCAATATGAGAGATGTTTAGGAGGTGGAAGACAGACTTTGGTAACCAATTAGATGTGAGCAGTAAAGGACATTCTGAGTTACAATATAAGTACTGAGCATCAGTCTTTTGAGTTTTTTTAGATTTTTTTTTAGTTGTAGATAGACACAATATCTTTATTACTTATTTTTATGCGGTGCTGAGATTCAAACCCAGTGTCTCACAAATGCAAGGCAAGTGATCTACCACTGAGATACAACCCCAGTCCCTGAACATCAGTCTTTAACTAGGTAGTAGATTAACCAGTTTCACTTTCTCCCAGGCATGCCCTTTCTTTGTTTCAGGAATGCCTGTAGCCATCAACCTAGAGTACAAAATGGATTGAGGTTCATCCAATCCCTCCTTAACTTCATAGGAAAGATAGAAGAAAAGAGGATGGAATATTTGGTTGCCACTGCTGCCTCAAGTCAATCCTTCAGGTCTAAATTCTGGATGATTTTGTCCTTCATGATGAGGAAATATTGGAAGAAAATCAGCTATGATAATAGGGCTAACAAAGAGAGAATCACGTAGTAATTTATGATCACTTCACTTTAAAAATGATTGGACTTCCAGGCGTGATGGTGCACACTGGTAATCCTAACAAATTTGGAGCCTGAGGCAGGAGGATATCAAATTTGAGGCTAGCCTCAGCAACTTGGAGAGACCTTGTTTCCAAAAAAAAAAAAAAAGCTTGGTAGAACGCTTGTCTAGTACATGTGAAGCACTGAGTTTGATCTATAAAAATAGATAAATAAAATAAAGACATTGTGCCCATCTACAACTAAAAATAAATAAATAAAAATAATGGTGTGGGATGTAGCTCAGTGGTAAAGTACCCTTGGGTTAAATGTTCAATC